AGGTCCTCTGCAAGAGCAGCCAGTGCTCTTAACTGCTGAGCCATCTCTCCAGTCCCCGATCTTTCCAGTTTATATCATCAGATTGTTATAGAAGTCAAATTACTTTGAATATATTTGAACGATATTTGTTCTTTTATTACTTTGTAGCAGTGGGAATTGAACCCAGGGCCCCCAATCATACTGAATAACAAGTAACTGGTTACTTGTTTTCTGTATCTAAGGAGTCTATTAAACATAGTGTCAGGCTTTATATAAAAATATACATGAGGATACAGCTAAGTGGAGAGTATCTGCCTAACATACAGAAAGCCATAGATTCAGTCCCCAGAACCATCAAGAAGGCAAAACCCAAACCAAAAACCTAACACATGAAGACATTAATAGAAGGAATCTATAAAGTAACAGCTTTTTGTTTACTTTTGTTGTTTTGAGACAGTCTCATGTAGTGTAAGAGTGAAACCACGGAGGACAAGTCACGGCCTTTGGGTTGCAACAGCAAGAGGTTTATTCAGGACACAGGTACCTGTGGGCACAGAGTCTCCTCGGAGGACTTGTGCACCCCAGGTTGAGTTCAGGGGGTTTTTATAAGGCAGAAGCAGGGTACAGAAGCAGAAACGCGGTTATTGGTTAATTTCAAACACATATAGTAATTTTACCAGTAATTTCAAAGGTATGCAGAGGTATGGGGTAAGGTCCGGGGCTAAGGGGAAATAGGATTGCTAAATGGGAGGTGACCTCAGAAGCACAGACGTTTTCTAAAGATTTCCTGGTATCGGGCCCTCAGGGTGGTCAGGAGTTCTGACCGTAAAGCCAGTTTACAGCTTGATCTGTGAAGCTTGACCGGCGCCTACCTGCCTTGCAGCCTTTAGATAAGGCTGGTCCTGGTTTCTGTTAAGTTATAACAAGTGGGCTGTGGGCCCCCTGAGTACTCATGGCATCTAGTTTCTCTTTATTTTTCACCTCTCCATCACCCCAGGTTTTGACTGCAGCCTGCCTGTCTCTATCCCACTCTCGCACTCAGCAGTGTACCCCGTTTCTTGTTCCTTCTTTGCACCCACTTCATTTGCTTTCTGGGCGTTCTAGTTCGCTTCCTATTGCTATAAAAACACCCTGACCAAAAGCAATTCGGAACGGGAAGGGTTTATTTCAGCTTACAACTCCCAGGTCACAATCCATCACTGACAGAAGTCAGGGCAGGAACTCAAGGCAGGGACTCGAGGCAAGAGCTGAAGCAGACACCATGGAGGAATGCTATTTTACTGACTTGCTTCCCTGGCCTGTTCTCAGCCTGCTTCCTATACAACCCAGGATCACCTGTCCAGGAGTAGCACCACCCACAATGGGCTGGGCCCTCCCACATCCGTCAGCAATTAAGAAAATGCCTCGCAAGCCAAGCATGGTGGTCCAGATCTTTAATCCCAGCACACAGGGGTCAGAGGCAGGTGGAACTCTGTGAGTTTAAGGCCAGCCTGGTCTACATAGTGAGTTCCAGGGAATCTGGCGCTACAGGGAGACCCTGACTCAAAAACACAACAAAACAAAAGCAACCTGGGGAGGAGTTTATTTGGTTTATACTTCCAGTTCATAATCTGCCATTAAAGGAAGTTAGGGCAGGAGCTCAAGCAGGCACTGAGGCAGAAACCATGGAAGGGGAACCCTGCTTACTGGCCTGTTCTCAGGCTCACCTCAGCTACCTTTCTTACAAGTGCAAGTCCCCTGGCCTAAGGATGGTACCGCCCATAGTGGGCTGGGCTGTCCTGCACAATTGACAGTCCAGAAAATGATCCACAGACCCATAGGCCAATCTGATCTCAATTTTGAGATTCCCTCTTTCCAGGCATGTCAAGTTGACAACCAAGATCAGCCATCACAGATAGCCATTATACTATTTCTAACAGTTCCTGGAAAAGACAGCTACCCTTGGCGGGGGGTGGTGGTGGTGGTGGTGGTGGTGGTGGTGGTGGTGGTGGTGGTGTCCTGTTTAGATGATTGGTGGTACCATCTGGATTGACACTTAAGGGAGAAGACAATGGTGTGCCTTTGTTCTTTACCAGAAAGCCTCCTGCCAGATAGTGATCTTACATACTTTTGGACAGTTTCTAGAAAGACCCTGTGTCTACCCAGGGCTGGAGCTAGGACAGGTTATCTAAGTCCTACACCTTCAGGATCTGATTTTCATAAGCTGCTGATTATGAGGGAGGGGTTTCTCCCCAGTGACCTTCGAGTCTGCTGTGTGTGACTAGCTACCTACCCAGTTCTCCTACTTCTGTGAAGACTTCCCCAACCTAGAACAAACCCTAGAACTCCGTTCAAGCTAAATGAAGCCACAGAAGGAGAATTATCCAAAAGATCCATCAGCACCACCAGACATCTATGAAGCACAGGTCAGGGACCAGAGGCCAGCAGGAGCCCCAGAGCCACTGTTTCTCTTTTCTGTCTCTGCAGTCCACTCTGGAGTAAAGATGCCCAACCACGGTTCTCCCAGTGAACATCTAGACCTTCAACCTGTGTCAGTCTCAAGAGAAGACTCTGATTGGCTGCTCTGGGTCAGGTGGAAGATCGAGGCCAGCCTGGTCTACAGAGCGAGTTCCAGGCCAGCTGGGGCTACAGGGAGACAGACCCGGTCTCAAAACAAAAACAAAAACAAACAAACAAAAAAGCCCTGTTTAGGGGATGGCCTTAAGAGTGAGTAGTGCTCTTGCAGAAGACCTCAGTTCCCAGCATCCACTGTGAGCTACTCACAACCCCCTTTAGCTCCAGCTCCAAAGGATACAATACCCTTTTCTGGACTCCTCTGGCACCTGCACTCACACATGCACATACTTAAACACAGACACATACATACACATAATCAAAAACATATATGCTTTCTCGTACGTAAAATAAATAAATAAAATGTAATTTTAAAAACCCTATGTGTTCCCCAGGGGTCCTGGTTCCTCCAAGGGGTGGGGCCTGCTGAGAACTGACTGTGGAGAGTTAGCATTGGAAGGCGGGGTTTGTGGCGCCATCTTGGGAAGGAAGTCATGAGCCACCAGAAACGCATGGCTGCAGCTGTGGGGACCACACAACAGCCCGGCGTACTCAAGGACAGGATGGCCTGACACTTCCGGACCTGGGGCGAGACCGCTGACCCCTGACACGTGCGCGACAGCTAGCGGTGACTGTGGGTGGCCGTGGAGCGATCTGATATGGTGGGCTCTGAGCCGAGGCACCCAGCCGAGCGTCGCGAGCTAGGCACTGAGTGTTGTCTCTTTGTAAGTCACTCCCCTCCCCCCCCATGATGACAATAATAAATGCACATAAAGATATGTTATATGGTTTGCCTGATAGCACAGACCCAAGGAGAACTCTGGTGACACCCTATTTACAGTCTGCTCAAATTCTGTTTGCTATTTGAACTGGTTGTTTGTTTGCACATCTTTGCCCAACCAGCACACACCAGGACCCCAGGATGTGGTGCACATGCACCTGACTATTGGGTCCAGTTCAAGGCTTCTGCCCAGAAACTGTCTGCAGTGTGGGCCTCCTAATTGTGCGACCTGTGTTCACAAACATGCCTTTATGTTCTACCGTTGCTGCCTTGAAATCCTCAATGATTTTTTTTTTTTTTTTTTTTTTTTTTTGAGACAGGGTTTCATTATGTAGCCCTGGCTGTCTGGGACTCAGAAATCAACCTGCCTCTACCTCCAGAGTGCTGAGATGAAAGGCATGAACCCCCACACCCAGCAATTTTTACTTATTGTTATAACAATAATATATACGTGTGTGTGTGTGTGTGCATGCCATAGCACACATGTGGAGATCAAAGGACAACTTATGAGAGTTGGTGCTCTCCTTCTACCATCTCGGTCTTGGGGATCAAACTCAGGTTGTCAGGCTTGGTGGCAAGTGCCTTTATCTGCTGAGCCATCTTGCCAGCCCCATACCCCTTTTTCCCTCAGGGCTAATCCAAGCAGGAAAGGTTAATTGTGATTCCAGCATCATGTTGGTGACAGTCCCTGCTGCAGCCATGGGTGCTGGCCAGGCCTGTGTCAACACACCACAAGAAGGCCAGCGCGTGTTCCTTTTCTGATACTAGGTTCTCTCTTGGCCTGTGCTCCTGTCCTTAGAAGACTCAGGAAACATTTGGAGGCTCTTACATCTCCATGGAGTGAAAGGTAGCCCCTTGGGGAGGGGCTGCAACCCACATTCAGTTTTCCAATCTGTCTTGTGCTAAATTAGGCCCATTCAAATCCCTCTCTCGAGGCATACAGGCACCCAATGTTCCGGGGGTCATAGAAACTGAGGAGGTGGGCCTGCGGGATGTGGCCTTAGGAGCACACCAGGTTACCCACCTAGCAGCTGAATGTAAGGAAAGGTGCCAGTTTCAGCACACACCCACATCCATCCCCATCCCTGGGCAGCTGCTGCAAACCTTTGACTGTGAACCCTCTGTGCCTGCCGCCTTTCATCCTTCAACAAAGACTCCTACGAAGGCATTGTTTCTATTTGGAGTGTGGAAAGGTCTGACTTGGAACTCAAAGCAGAAGTAGGGTGTGGCAGTCATGTCTACAATCCCAGGACTCAAGAGGCTGAGACTGGAAGATTGCTGACAGTTTGGGGGCAGCCTGGGATACATAGTGAGTTCCAGGTCAGCCTGGGCTACAGAATGTAACCTCCTCTAAAACAAAATAAAACAAAAACAAAGACTGAGCTGGGTGTGGTGGAGCACGCCTTTATTCTCAGTACTCTGGAGGCAGAGGTAGGCAGATCTCTGTGAGTTCAAGGCTAGCCTGGTCTTGCATTTGCCAAGCCTGACAACCTGAGTTTGATCCCTGGGATCCATGTGGTAGGAGGAGAGAACTGATTCCCAAGAGTTGTCCTCTGACCTCCACATGCACCTGGGACCTCCACATGCCCACACACATACACAGACACAGACACATTCACACATACACACAAAAAGTAAATATATAAGTGCAATTTAAGAAACTAAAAAGTTAGGCCGGACATGGTGGCGCACACCTTTAATCCCAACACTCAGGAGGCAGAGGCAGGTAGATCTCTGTGAGTTCAAGGTCAGCCTGGTCTACATAGTGAGTTCCAGGCAGCTGGGGCTACAGGAAGACCCTGTCTCAAAATGAAACAATAATAAAACCAACCAAATAAACAACCCCCCAAAAAAACCAAAAGGATAGAAACCCCAAGATGAACAATAATTTCTCTGTCCCTTGTATTGGTCCTCCCAGGGGGCAGTACAGGGTGGGGAGTGGTGGCGAGGAGGGCAGGCAAGCAGGTGGGTGCAATTGTCAGGGCAGGGGTAGGGTGCATCTGTAGGGAAAAGTAAAATAAAGGAAACCTCAAAATAACCACAAATCAAAGGCATTGTCGCCTACACAGCTCAGGTAAAGGCCCCGCCCGCCTCTCACTTTGCCCTGGAAAGGGAAGATGCTCAGCAGGGTGTGCAATAGAGTTCTTTTCAAACATTCATGTGAGTGTGTGTGTGTGTACATGTGAGTTTGTGTGAGTGTAGCCCTCCGAGTCTACAGCTTCCATACACCCCTGGCTTTAGTCAACCACGAGCAAACTTGTTACCTGGTTGCTGATGTGTGCTGTGTAGTGAGGCTTGTGATGCTGTGTCTAGACTGAACGTGTACAGATATTTTTCCATGTTATTCCCTAAACAATACAGTAGAACACTGGTCTAAAGAAGATCAAAAGAGTACAGGAAGATGTGCGTAGATTAGTACCCCATTTTATATGAAGGGCTTCAGCAACTGCAGGTTTTGGGGGGGGTGTGTTGTCATTTTGTTTTTGTTTTTTGAGGCAGTGTGGAGGGAGGACAACCTGTGGAAATTAGTTTCCTTCTTCTACCACATGGACCCCAGGGATTGAACACAGGTCTTCAGGCTTGGTGGCAAGTGCTGAGCCATCTCATGGGCTCGATTCCCTGACTTTTTTTTTCAGTCTTTTTGAGACAGGGTCTCCCTGTAGCCCCAGCTGGCCTGGAACTCACTATGTAGACCAGGCTGGCCTTGAACTCACAGACATCTGCCTGCCTCTGCCTCCTGAGCACTGGGATTAAAGGCATGTGCCACCATGCCCAGTAATTCCCTGACTATTTACTTAATGTCTTTCTTGTGTCCCAGGGTTCTGTCCAGCTATTTTGTAGAATGTCCCTCAGTTAAATATCCTGGAGATTTTTAAAAAATCTGTATGGGTGTTTTGTTTGCATGTATGTAAGTGCACGGTGTGTTTGCAATGCCCATGGAGGACAGAAGAGGGTGTTAGACGCCTTGGAACTGGAGTTACAGGTGGTTGTTAGCTGCCATGTGGGTGCTGGGAATTGAACCCGAGTCCTCTGCAAGAGCAATCAGTGATCTTAATTGCTGAGCCATCTCTCTAGTCCCCATGTCTGAGATATTCTTGTGACAATGCCCAGGCTGTGGTTTTGGGTATGATAACTACAGGAAAAGCACCATTTTGTCATTGATGTTGGCCTTGGCCTGACTGGAAGAGCACTGTCAGGCTTCTCCGCTGTAGGCTGCCCTTTTGTTCCTGTTTACAGCCTTTCCTACCATGGTCTGACACGTTCCTTGTCTCGACAGCTGCACTTCTGTCATCTAAGGGACAGCAAGTTGAAACTGGCAGATCTTAAACAGCCAGCACATCTGGCTCTGTGCTAAGACCTTCTATATGTCCCTTCCCTGACTCTTTAAACAATCTATTATCATGGTCCTGTTGTCTCTGTTTCAAAGAAGAGAAGTAGAATTTCCCAGCACTGGCCACACTGAAGTTCAACTCCAAGGCGGGAAGGATGCATTCTGAGGTCTGTCTGGACCTAGGCTTAAGGGCCTAGATGCAGAACTCTGTTCAAATTCCTTAGCAAGTCAGGGACTCTGCCTTCTGACACCACCAAGTCTGCAACGATTTCTCCCCACCTCTCCGATGTCCTGGACTCAGCCGGGTCAAACTGCCCACTCCTGACTCTCCAGGACTTCTAGTTGAAACCCACAGGGGAAGTGACCCAGACTTCCCAACAAATAAACCCACCCACAGATTTCCAAATATACAGAGGTAACTGTTTTCCTTCAGCCACAACTGGGAAGGGCTGGGACTCCAAACATCCTAGCCAGCTTCTGATCCTCCTGGTGATGAGATCTGGGTCATTTCCTTACTAGAACAGCCCTTCCCTGTGAGGTGGAAGGGAGACCTGCAACCACAAAGCAGTCACAGCTTGCAACAACATTGTAGGCCTGGTCTGGACACTTTTTGCCGCTCTGTGGACCAATCGAAGGGCTCCACACATGCTGAGTGGGTTGCTCTGCCTTTGAGTTACACCTGGAGCCAGGTACATTGGTTTGGTTAGATTTTGTTTGTTTGTTTGTTTGTTTGTTTGTTTGTTTGTTTGTTTGTTTGTTTGTTTGAGACAGGGACTTTTGCGACCCAGGCTGGCCTCTAAATTTTTTTATTGGACTGGAGAGATGGCTCAGTGGTTAAGAGCAATGGCTGCTCTTGCAGAGGACAGGGTTCAGTTCCCAGCTCCTACATGGCAGCTAACAGCTGTTTGTAATGCTACTTCCAGGGGATCTGACGCCCTCTTCTGGACTCTGTGGGCATTATACAATACAGGTACACTTGTATACATGCAGGCAAAACATTCGTACATGTAAAACAAAAAATAAATAATTTGCTTTATTTACCATTTGTAGTATATATTTTTATACATGTGGAGTCAGAGGACAACTTTCAGGAGTTAGTTCTCTCCTTCAACCTTTATGTGTGTCCTCAGAATGGAACACAGGTTATCAGGATTATAGTCTATGGAAGTAATCGATTACCCTCTGAATCATCTCACCAGTCCCAGTAAATATATGTATGTATTGAACTCAGGACCTCCTGAATGTCAGACAAATACTCTACCACTGAGCTATCTCTCTAGCCCCCACCAGATACATGTTATAAAACAATTATAAGGAGCCAGGTGTGGTGGCGCACGCCTTTAATGCCAGCACTTGGGAGGCAGAGGCAGGCAGATTTCTGTAAGCTCAAGGCCAGCCTGGGCTACAAAGTGAGTTCCGGGCCAGCGGGGGCTAAAGCTGGAGACCCTGTCTCAAAAAGACAAAAAAAAAAAAAAAAAAACAATTATAAGGACTGGAAAGATGGCTCAGCAGGTAAGAGCATGCACTGCTCTTGCAGAGGACCTGAGTTTGATTCCCAGCACCCACATCAAGCAGCTCACAACTGCTTACAACTCCAGTTCCTGTATGTGCATAATTCACACACAAATTCACAAAATTTATACTCATGTTATATATTTTTTTTGGTCTCCCTGGAGCTCACTCTATAGACCAAGCTGGCCTCAAACTCACAGAGGATCCGCCTGCCTCTGCCTCCCAAGTGCTGGGATTAAAGGTGTGTGCCACCATGCCCGGCCACACACAATAATTTTAGAATAAAAATTAACCCCCCCAAAAAAACCCAAAAAGCACAAATGACCTAAGCCTGATGGAGCATGCCTTTAATCCCAGCATTTGGGAGGCAGAGGCAGGCATATCTCTGTGAGTTTGCAGCCAGCCTTGTTTACATAACAAATCCCATGCCAGTTGGGACTACAGGGAGACCCAGTCTCACAAAAACAAAACAAGGGGCTGGAGAGATGGCTCAGCATTTAATAGCACTGGCTGCTCTTGCAGAAAGAAGACCTGGGTTCAAATCCCAGAACCTACATGGCAGCTAACTACTGTTTGTAACTCCAGTTCCAGGGGATCTAACACCCTCTTCTGACCTCCACAGACACTGCACAGCATGGGTACACTTACATACATGCAGGTATAACACTCATACACATAAAATAAACAACAACAAAAAACCAAACCAAAACAAACAAACAAAAACCATACAACAAGCTTTCCATCACTATTTCTTGGAATTTCTTAGCTTTTCAAATATGGAAAGCTTGTCATCAATTGACTTCGAACTGTGGAAGGTAAAGACTTAGCACTCTGATTTTCCCAACATACACTCCTATCACTTACATTACAATTTTTGATGTAATATTCACTGATTACATTATTATTTTTATTTATTTTAAAATTTATGTTATTTTTATTTGTGTGTGTGTGTGTGTGTGTGTGTGTGTGTGTGTGTGTGTGTGTGTGTTTGGGTATGTGTACACGTGTGGGTGCTGCAGAGGCCTGAAGGCTCCCTTGGAGTTGGAGTTCCCAGCAGTTGTAAGTCACCCAATGTGGCCCTGAACTCCAATTCTCTGCAATTCTTTTTTTTAGGATTTGTTTCCATTATTTTATGTGCATGTATGTGGGCCTGAGTATATGTATGCATGCACCATGTCTGTGTGCAGGTACCTATAGAATCCAGAAGAGGGCATTGGATCCCCTAGAACTAGAGTTACAGGTGGTTGTGAGCCACCTGATGTGAGTGTTGGGAACTGAACCCTGGTTCACTGCAAGAGTAGTAGGTGCTCTTAACTACCGAGCCTCTCTCCAGCCTCACCGCTTTGTTTTGTTTTTTCTTCAAGATAGAGTCTTGCTGGAGAGTTGGCTCAGTGGTTAAGAGCACTGGCTGCTCTTGCAGAGCAC